TTTAGCATAGTTGCAAGTAGTAACCTTGGTAAAAGAGCGGGAGTTGCTAAGGGTTACTGATGGTTACAAATTGTTACAGAAAGCGGGAGTTGCAAAAATTGCTACAAGAGGCTGGGAACTGCCAGGGTACAAACAGTTATATTCGTTACTTAGACAGGTCGAGCAAAGGGCAAGTAGGACAAAGTGCAAGTGAGCTCTGCAAGTGAGCTCTTGCATGCAGCAAGCATATTTACAGAAGCAGAACAAAAGCTGTTAGCCTTTTGAATAATCAAAAGATGCCTTGAGACAAACTGAAATAAAAACACTATCGCCCCAAATCCATGGGATACAGCAAAGCAGTCCTAAGTGAGAAATTCACAGCAATACAGGCGTAACTCAAGAAATAAGAAAAACCTCAAATAAACAATCTAACTTTACACCTAAAAGAACTAGAAAAGGAACAGCAAACAAAGAAGGAAAGTAGAAAAAAAAGAAAATAATAAAGATCAGAGTGGAAATCGTCTTTTAAAAAATATACAGAAGATCAACAAAAGCAGGAGCTGATTCTTTGAAAAGATAAAATTTATAAACTTTAAGACTCATTAAGAAAAAGAAAACCCAAATAAATAAAATCACAACCGAAAGAAGTGAAAATCACCACTAGAGAAATACAAAAGATTATAAGAAAATACTAACAACTATATGCTAACAATTGAAAAAGCTGGAAAAAATGGATAAATATCTAGAAACGGAAAGTCTTTCAAGACTAATTAAGAAGAAACAACATCCGAACTGAGAAATTACTACTAACAAAATAAAACCAGTAATCAAAAAACTCCCCCCAAACAAGTGGCTTCACAGGTGAATTTTACCAAAGAGTCAAAGAATTAACACCTATTCTTCTCGAACTATTCCAAAAAGTTCATAAGGAGAGAGGACTCTGAAGCTCAGGATATAGGGCCACCATTACCGTGATTCCAAAATCTGACAAAGACATTACAAAAAAAAAAATTTATAGGTCGATATTCCTGATGAACATAGATGTAAAAATCTTCAACAAAATATTCGCAAACCAAATTCAGCAATACATTAAAAAGATCATGTACCATGACCAAGTGGGATTTATTCTTGGGATGCAAAGTAGCTTTAATATCTGCAAATCTATTAAACTAATACACCACAAAGACAAATTGAAAGATAAAAATCGTATGATCAATAGACGCATAAAAAGCATTTGTCAAAATCCAGCATCCATTTATGGTAAAATCTCTCAGCAAAGTGGAAATAGAGGAACACACTTCAACAAAATAAAAGGCATGTATGACAAACACACATCTAATATCATACTCAACAGGGAAAAGCTAAGAGCTTTTTCTTTAAGATCAAGAACAAAACAAGGATGTCTACTATCACCACTTTTATTTAACATAGTGTTGGAAGTCCTAGCCACACCAATCACACAAGAAAAAGAAATAAAAGACATCCCAATTGAAAAGAAGTGACACTGTCATTATTTGCAGATGACATGATACTATATCATATACAGCAGTGGTCCCCAAACTTTTTGGCACCAAGGATGGGTATTCCTATGAGAATCTAATTCTTGATGATCTGAGGTGGAGCTGAGGCAGTGATTCTGGTGCTGGGGAGCAGCTTCAAATACAGATGAAGCTTCGTTCACTTACCTGCCGCTCACCTCCTACTGTGTAGCCTGGTTCCTAACAGGCTATAGCCCAGGAGTTGGGGACCCCTGATATAGAAAACCCCAAAGATTCCACCAAAAAAACTATCAGAACTAATAAATGAATTCAGTAAAGTTGCAGGATACAAAATTAATATTCAGAAATAAGTTGTATTTTTATACACCAATAATGAACTCTCAGAAAGAAACTACAAAAACAATCCCATTTATAATTGCACCGGAAAAAAAAACAAAAACAAAAAAACAACCTAGGAATAAATTTAACCAAGGAGGTAAAAGACCTGTACTTAGAAAATTATAAGTCATTGAAGAAAGAAATTGAAGATGCAAAAAAACTGGAAGCTTATACTGTGCTCAAGATGGTTAAGAATTAACAAAGCAATCTATAGATTCAATGCAATCCCTATCAAAATAGCAATGGCATTTTTCACAGAACTAGAATCCTAAAATTTATGTGGAACCATAAATGATCCTGAATAGCCACGGCAATCTTGAGGGAAAAAAACAGAGTTGGAGGTATTACATTATCTGATATGAAATTATATTCCAAGGCTATAGTAATCAAAACAGCATGGTACTGGCAGAAAAACAGACACACAGATCAATGGAACAGAGTAGAGCCCAGAAATAAACCCATGCTTACATGGTTATTTAATCTGCTATTTACTTTCAAATGGCTCAGGAAATAGTGTTTATACATTTCTCTGTGTGTAAAGAGTAGAAGAGACCAACTGTTTTATTAAATGGACGACTATAGCTTTATATTGTTTTGTTTCTAGTTTTTAATACTTCCTATATAAGTAAAACTTAATTACTTTTTGAAAGAAATCTTATGTAGAATTCTTCGAGCTAACCAGTCAACAAAATCTTGACAGGATAATGTCAGTAAGGCTTATCTCACATGCCAAATTCTTTAAGTTTTAAGTATAACTAACTGGAAACAAATTTTGTCAACCCCTTTTAAAAGCCCACTTTAGCTTTCAACTGTCAACAGAGGAAGGAATTACATATAACCTAAGTTAGAATTACAGATAACTCAAGTTTCAAAATTCAATATGTTTTGAAGTCCTTCTCTGCAACCTACTTTTAAGTTTAAAGTAAAGACATTATGAAACTCCTCTTGGGATTACTTCCTATAGCAAAATTTTAACCATATTTTGCCACTGACATTTTTTAGCAATTAGACCTAAAAAATGACCTCTTTCAGAACACATGTAGATATAATAACTACTGATAAAAACACATACCTTAGGAAAAAGAAAGAAGAGTGAAATGTGAGGCAGATTCATTATTCAAGTGCAAGGTACATCAAATACTCCTATGAAAATATCAATATCAAAGCCCATTTTAGAAATAAAGTCTGACAGCTTGCCTTATGTACTGGAATACTAATTTAAAAGCAGTGCTGCAAAAAGCCAAGAATGATGATCTTAAATAGTAATGGTGCTGATTTCCTGATAGGATTACATTATTACTTTGTGTTACAAGGGAATATTTAGTTTAGTAATATACCTCATTTTATATTTCTTAAAAGAGAAAATGTATGTTCTATAGAAAAGTCAGATTTATAACCATTTTCTCTCTAGAACCAAATCAAAAAACCCAAACGCTTTCATTCCAAGCATCCCATTTCCTATTATTTTGGCTCCTTCCTATAGTTCCCCAGCTCTACAGTTCTTTGATTCCACAATCTATTGATGGTACCACCTTTTCACTGCTCCTCAACCACCTCATATTCAACTCCCTTCTTACACATCATCTTAATCACCACAATGTATATACCATATAAATCATCATCTCTCCTGTCCTTCTCTTGAGTCATTATATTCCTTTGAGCCTACTCCACTGTCCTATCCACTTACTTCCTTACTCTTCAAGAAAACTGTTTCATTGTAATTTTATTCCTTGATATTGCAGTAGACTAACTGGTTTCCTTTTTAACCCTTGCCTTTCCTATAGTTTATCTTAACACAGCAATTAATTCTTAAGGATTCTTGAAACATTTTAAAAGGCTAATAAAATACTGTCACTCCTTTTCTTAAAACATCCAATGACTTCTCCTCACACAGAGTAAAAGACAATGTCTTTACAATGGTCCACAAGATTCTAAAAAATCTAGTTGTTCATTATTTTATTTTTTACCACTCTCCCACCTCTCATTCTGCTCTAGCCAAACTGGTGGTCTCCTTGCTGTTTCTGAAACATGTCAGCCTGCTTCCTGCCTCAAGGCCTTTGGACTTATTAGGGCTTGCTCTCTCACTTCCTTTAGGTCTTTTACACATATTACATCAGTGAAGCCTTCTCTTTACATCCTACTTGAAACTTTGATTTCTCCTTACTTTATTTTTCTCATAGCACTTACCATCTCTGATCAAATATATGTTTAATATATGTATTGTTTCTTGCTTCTAATCTCCACTAGCATGCAAGCTCCAAAAGATTTTGGTTGGTTGATTGTTGTATTCCCAGTGTCTAGGGTATAACTAGTACACAGTAGACAACATTAAAAATATTTATTGAATGAATAAAGAAAAGAATTAAGTTAAATACATGTTTTACCGTGGATCATTTGTTGAATGAATGAAACAGGCGCTATTACGTAATTTTTAAATGAGATTAACACAGAAATTTTGAATAAAAAATAACTGAAATGAAATATAAACTTGAAGTTACCACGAACTTATTGTTCATGCAGAAAGATAATGCTTTGTTTTCTGGGACTTTATTTTAAAATTGAGTCAATATACATATTCATTCTTATAATTTTACCACCTTAACAGAATTAATCAGCAGTGTTTCATTTTCTGATGTTTTTAACATTAGAATCTATGAGAAAATAAACATTATCCAAAGTCAACATAAGTGCTGGAATACCCTGAATCACATATCAAAAATCAATGTTTTAAAGTTGTTTGAAGTTGTTTTTAAATTTTAAATTATAAAAGGGGCTCACTTTTACTTGAGTCCAAATATGGATATTTATCTACAGAAATTTCTATACTATATCTTATTAATGATAAGTTGTGTTAAATCTCACATTTTATTGTATTAATGTTTAAATATGTTAAACGTATTTAAAGCTATACTTTTAAAAAGTTGAAACAAAAAATTTTAAGTTATGTCATAGAAAAATATTTTGATTAAAAAAAGATGAATGAAATAAACCTAGGAAAGTGAAACAAGGAAGAAGTTGTTTAAAAGACATGTCTGTATTAAAACACTTCTATTTTTGAACAATAAATTATACACCGCATTATTTAAATTTGAGTGTCAACAATACATTAAGAAACCAAAACTGTTAATTCATAAAAGCACTCACCTACAACACCATTCAATACGACCTTCACCTTCACAAGTTTTTGCCCAATGATTATCTGCCAAATTTTTCATTGCAACAGCATATTCACAGAGGGTTTCTTCATCTTCACAGTGTTCTCGCCAGATCTTATCAAAATCTCCCACTAAAAACAAGGAAAAAAATGAATTAAGTTAACTTTACTTAAAAATAGGTCAACCTAAAAACAGCATGCTACTTGCATAAAAACAGATACATTGATCACTGGAACAGAATAGAGAGCCCAGAATTAAATCCACGCCTATACACTCACTTAATGTATGACAAAGGAGTTAAGAATATACAATGGGGTCAAGACAGTTTCTTCAATAAATGGTGCTGAGAAAGTTGGACAGATACATGCAAAAACAAGAAGCTGGACCATCTTCTTACACCATATACAAAAATAGACTCAAAATGGATTAAAGACTTCAATTTAAGACCCCAAACCATAAAACTTCTAGAAGAAAGCATAAACAGTAAACTCTGATATTACTAACAGATATTTCTTTTCAGATCTACCTCCTCAGGCAAGGGAAACAAAAGAGAAATAAGCAAATAGGATTACATCAAACTAAAAAGTTTTTGTACAGTAAAGGAAACCATTAACAAAACAAAAAGACAACCGACTGGGAGAAGATATTCGCTAATGATACATATGATAAGGGGTTAATATCCAAAATATATAAAAAACTTATACAACTCAACAAAAACACAAACAATCCAGTTAAAAAACAGGCAGATCTGAAAAGATAATTCTCCAAAGAGGAAATACGGATGGCTAATAGACATATAAAAAGATGCTCTAGGTCGCTAATCATCAGAGAAATGCAAATTAAAACCACAATGATATCATCTGTCAGAATGGCTATTATCAATAAATCAAAAAACAAGTGTTGGTGAGGATGAGGAGAAAAGAGAACCCTCATACGTTATTGGTGAGATTGCAAATTGGTACAGCCTCTATGAAAAACAGTCTGGAGAGTTCTTGAAAAATTAAAAATGGATATACCTTTTGACCCAGCAATTGCACTTCTGGGTATTTATCCAAAGAAGACTAAAACAATAATTCGTAAAGATCTATGCACCCCAATATTCATGGCACAATTTACAATAGCCAAGATATAGAAGCCATCTAAATGCCCATCAAAAGACGATTGGATAAAGAAATTATGGTTCGTATATACAATGGAATATTACTCAGTCATTAAAAAAAATGAAATCCTACCATCTGCAACGACATGGATGGACCTAGAGGTTCTTATGCTGTGTGAAATAAGTAAGACAGAGAGAGGTAAATACCATATGATTTCACTTATATGCAGTATCTAAGGAACAAAAAGAACAAATTAGTCAAAAACAGCCTCACAAATATAGTGGACAATTTGGTGACGGACAGAGGGGAGTGGGGTGGGGGGCTGGAAGAATGAGGTGAAGGGTTTAAGAAGTACAAATTACTAGTTGATAGTTGGTCACGGGGTTGGGGAGCACAGCATAGGGAATGCAGTTAGCATTAATATGATGGCTAGGTGGAAGGCCAGGGGAGGGAGGGAGCAAATGGGGGGATTGTTTTATGAACTATATAGATGTCTAACCAATGTACTGTATACTTGAAACTAATTTAAATGAATAAATTTAAAAAAATAAGTTAGGCTCTTAGAAGTTTCAGCAGTCTAAAAATTAAACATGAGTATAAGCAAAATTATAAAGTTTAAATTTCGTAAGTTTAAAAGATCCTATTTGCAAACAGATGTATCATTTAGCCATGATGATTTGATAATCAAGTAAATTTTACCATTTTAAACACATGGGTCTGTGAAGCTGAATAAAACTAATAAATATAAGTGGACATATACAAGTTATCAGTTTATAAATTAGAAACATGCTGGTAGGAAAATAAGTATGACTGAGCATTCAGATTCAGGCATTAATTTGTCCTGCTACCGTTGGGCAATATGACTGCAGCAACAGAGTAAAACCACTTAAGCCTGTTTCGTGCTTGTTATTTTCTTGGATCTCTATGTACTTAATAGTTTTGTATATAAAAAAGGAGTTCAATGATTAGAAGGCAACATAAATTAGCAAGCATGTTAAATACTTTTATTTACACATTTGGACTTAATTTAGCCTGTCCTTTGAAAATTACAGACCTAGGGCAAAAATGTTACTAAAAAAATACCTTGGAGCTTCTCCAAAGTTTTGAGTCTTTATGAAATGTTCTGAATATTATAAGCTGACTACATTATATTACTTCCAACTACTACCTTTTAAAAAAATGAAATCAGTCATCATACTTAATATGATATCTGAAACATTAATGTGAGTTCTGATAGAGAGGTGTGCTATGGCCAAATAAATGACCTTAACATAATTATCAGGGTAAAAAAATAAACAAAAATTATCAAAGTGGCTTCATTCAATGTCCTTAGACATAAGACTTAAGTTCTTTTGCCTCATGCTCAAATGTAGGCAATTGTTGGAGAGATCTAGAAAAATGGCGTAGATGATAGAGGTTTTGTTCATCTACTCTTGCAAACACATCAAAGTTGTGATGGAAATACGTAGCAAACAGCAGGCAGAGTTGCTTGGGGTCTAGATTAACAGGAGCCCTACAACTAGGGAAATAAGAAATCATCCTGCAAAAAGAGGAGCTGGAAGAAGATAAAGAGATGAGGCTGCCTAGCCCTGAGCGGCTGAGTGGGACAGAGGCTACTGCAGCTGCAAGCTGGCAGCTGTGATGTTCCTCTGAAAGGGGCTGTGTCTGCGACCGGACTTTCATAGTGATGGACTTGCTTTGCTCTGACCACCAGTGGCAGGTCGGCTGCTCGGGGGACACCAGGGAATTGGGGATGCTGAGCTGTTGGAGCCAGGGCCAGAGGCAAGGATCTCTCCCAGGCAGAAGTGCTAGCGGTATACACTGATCCTCTGTTGAACCCTCCCCCGTCCCAGTGTGCGGACACAGCACTGCCATAGCTGAGACATCCTAAAACTGGATAACAGAGGTTGCTCTGCCCTGAAACTCCACTTCCCCCAACTTGTGGCCCTTCCCAAGCCACATCCAGTTGTGTCCTCGGGGAGTCTTGTGCAACTTGCTGAGCAGCTCCAAGACCCACACTGATGGCAGCTGACCTTGGTTTCTGGTGTGGCTTCTTGAGGCAACTATAAACACAGCATCTGTGGATTGTTAACGAATCTCACAGGGGGCCCCGGAGGGGCTAAACTTGGCCTGCAGCTAAACCCCTCTCAGGATTGTGCTACTAGACACTTACTACACAAAGCCATGCTAATAAGACCGGGAGACTTAGGAGCTTTGCTTAGTGTACATAGAAAGTCAGCAAAAATGGGAAGATAAAGAAGCAGAAACCACATGAGAGAACAGAAGAGAGATCCAGGAATAACTGATCTAATCACTAATATTCACTAATATTTATGTAATGACAGGGCTCTCAATTTGTGATAGAGCAGACTAGTAATAACTGTCCACTAAAAACAAGCAGGCGAAAAATTTTTTTCTAAATTCTCAAAGAAAAACTCCTCAGTTTTAGTAACATCTTTCCAATGTAGTTATCATTATCTAAATAGAACTATAAGACATCTTTGAAACAAAATATTTTGGTTAATGATACTTTCATAAATCTATGATGGTTTATAACACTATTCCTGACTTTACTCATCAGATTTGATACCAAATGGTTCATTAAGATATAGTATCATTTTAAAGGTGCTTTATCTTTTATAGAGATAAGTATCTTCAACTCTAAAAGGCCCTTTGTTTCAACTTGTAAGTTTCACTAGTCTATATAATGTACATGTTATAAATAAATAAATTTACTACATTTGTTGGTAGTAGTCATTCAAACAAAAGTTCTATGATCCAACATATTTGGGAAAGCCATGTTTAAAATATTTAAACAGACGTCCCTTCTGTAAGACTTCTTAGTTTAGATTCTGCAGAAGGTACAACTTAAGACAAGGACATGGGTCCAAGTAGTTTATGTGGAAAAGAATCCTAGGAAACAGGAGAGGGTAGGAGAGCAAACCAAGGAAGGAGAAAATGTTAATTTAAGGAGGCTGCTGTGGGCAACAAAGAAGCATATAGAGGGCCTCTGGGATTGTTCACTTAAAAGGAAGGATAGGCAGCTGGACATTTAGCTATCAGTTACTACCCCCATTAACTAAGGGTTGTTAACAGCCTGAACTTCTAGTCTGTACTTAGGCACTAAATAAAGGGACATCTTCAGTGGGCTCCAGCAGTGTTGAAGAAAGGCAGAAAGTAACACACATTTAAACTGGAAATCTATCAGAGCTGGGTGCCTCTGAGCTCATAGTGTCTGTCCACCAAAGGTGAAGACCAAAGGGGTTAAGTGGGCCACCAAAGGCATCTATTACTGTGTCAATTGTAAAATGTGAAACTCAATTTACTTTAGAATTATTCTACTAGCTGAGATGCAAAGACTACTGTATGTATACAAACACCTGCTGCCCTTCAGTTTTTTAGACTTCTAGTTTTTTACACTTAACAAAATTCTCTGTAAATACTGCCAATTTCTTAGAGTTTTAAGGCTTCCTATCTGCTTCGATGAAGTTTTGGGGAAGGATTCAAATTTTGTCTGCAAGCCTATTCAACTCAAACTGATGGCAGACAACTTTAATGTTTTTATTAACATTTAAGAGTCTCCAGACTCTCTCCAAATATGATAATACTGAAATTGACATCTTATTAGTAAAATGTAGTACACTTAAATAATATATACTTGAGATTAAACAATGCAATTGTATATACTGTTCATTCTTTCAGCAAATCTTCGGAAAAATACTCTCAAATACTACAGAGAATAAAGTTAATGAGCAAGTAAGTATTGGCATCAAAGGAAGGGGAGAAAACAATACAATGTTGTAGATGCTGTAATACAGATATGAACTTGATATGTACCCTATGTTCCATGTAAGGCACACTGGAGCCAGAACTTTTAAATGATGTATTTATTCAACAAAAATGTATCGAACCTGATTACTAGGTATACATTATGTTAAATATCTGGTGGTTTCAAAGTTGAATAAAAAAACAGAGTTAGCATTCAGTTATGAGAAAATTCTGCTTTCCAGATGCTCTTGAAAGCTTATGAA